TGAAAGTTGCAATCGAAGCTTTTATAAATCCCCGCGCACTAAATTCTTCAATTAAAGCCGCAGCGGAATGCCGTTCCACCGTGCAGCAACCGACTGAACCAGCTTAGGAAACATAATGAAAATAATATGCATCACAGAAAACACGTAGACAAATGCCTTTTAGGGCAGATACAGCAGCAACATTTGCGTCTATTATTGTAATTTTTTCTTCACATGTGATAGTTCCTATTGCGACGCGTTCCCTTCTATGCATCCGGTATTCGTCCATCTTTTTAGCCGAAGAGATAATAAAAAGGAGATGAGAGGAGCGTTTTAAAAAATTTGCGGCCCGAGGCACTTCCAGTTGTAAGAATCCATTTTCCACTTTTCTCATGGGAAGGCAGTTGACTTTGTGACTGGCGGAGTTTCAACTTATTTCTCGACGGTGAATGGCAGGTATGAATTTTTTTAAATGTCTCTCGAAGGGTCTGCTGAATGGGATGTAAAACTCAAGACGAAATTGTGAGTTCTCTGAGCTTGATGGAGTCCCGTCCCTCAAATGATAGGAAATTCACAGCATTCATCACAGCTTTAGTATCCGTTCAGCAGACCATTCGAGGGCTCATTCGAAAGTGTTCGTAGATGTTCATCATAAAAAATAATTAGAGAATTTACTGGTAATAAAAGGAAAAGAAAGAGATAATGAGAAATGTGAGGATAATAAATCTGCAACTGGAAGTACCACCGGCTGGTCAATTTTGACCACCCCTCATGGGTCGATGCTTATTGTCTTAAGATGGCTCTCACTAATTTGATTAAAACGTTCGCAAACCCGTGGTAATCCATGGGAAAAGTAATGTTTATGTATCTGGTGCAAAAGGTGACTGCGGCTTGGTTGAATATTCGGCATTCCGAAAGGGGTCGAAGAGGAAGGTGAGGCGCGGAAAGGAGGACCAGTGGCTCGTCGCTTCGAGGGCCTGGGAGGGGAGGTCGTCCCGCCGCAAATGACACGGTGAGGAAAGTTCCTTGAATGTTACAGGATGGGCAGGTTTCCGCATGGGAGTAGGGGGAGAATTAATACGAAACTGTCTGAACGTACGTCGTTTTGAGACGGAGTGTATAAAAAAAAATTTAGATTCTAAAATTGGTGGTTTCAGTAATTATATTACACTCGAATGAACGAATTTAGTGACAGTGACCGAGAGTAGTGCATTTTGTATTACACTCGTATCGACTGAATTTCACATTCCTGCCACTGTGTCTCGCATTCGGAATCAGGAGAAGTTGCTATGACGAGCTACTGTTTCATAGGGAAATACAGGTCCTTAGTGACAGTGACCGATAGTGGTGTATTTTGAATTACACTTGTATCGACTCGATATCGCATTCCTCCCACTGTGAGTTGCATTCGGAGACAGGCGAGGTTGCTATGACACGCTTCTGATGCATAGGGAAATAGAGGTCCTCAGTGACACAGTGAGCGATAGTGGTGCATTTTGAATTACACTCGTATCGACTGGATTTCGCATTCATCCCACTGTGAGTCGCATTCGGAGTAGAGAGAACCAGGTTTCATGTGGTTGTGAAGTTTCGTAAATTTTTGTTCAGAGTAACACAGTGACCGATAGTGATGCGTTTTGCATTACACTCGTATCGACTGGATTTCGCATTCAGCCCACTGGGAGTTGCATTCGGAGACAGGAGATGTTGATTTTACATGCTACTGTTGCATAGGGAAATAGAGGTCCTCAGTGACACAGTGAGCGATAGTGGTGCATTTTGAATTACACTCGTATCGACTGGATTTCGCATTCATCCCACTGTGAGTCGCATTCGGAGTAGAGAGAACCAGGTTTCATGTGGTTGTGAAGTTTAGTAAATTTTTGTCCAAACAGTGACAGATATTGATGCATTTTGAATTACAGTCGTATCGACTGGATTTCGCATTCAGCCCAATGTGAGTTGCATTCGGAGAATGGAGATGTTGCTTTTACATGCTGCTGTTGCATAGGGAAATAGAGGTCCTCAGTGACACAGTGACCGATAGTGATGCATTTTGAATTACACTCGTATCGACTGGATTTCGCATTCATCCCACTGTGAGTTGCATTCGGAGTAGAGAGAACCAGGTTTCATGTGGTTGTGAAGTTTAATAAACTTTTGTCCACAGTGACCCAGGGACCGATAGTGATGCATTTTGAATTACACTCGTATTGACTAGATTTCGCATTCCTCACACTGGGAGTCGCATTCGGAGTCAGGAGAAGTTGCTATGACATGCCACTGATGCATAGGGAAATAGAGGTCCTTAGTGACGCAGTGACCGATAGTGATGCATTTTGAATTACACTCGTATCCACTCTATGTCGCATTCCTCCCAGTATGAATTGGATTCGGAGTCAGGAGAACAAGTTATCAAGTGGATTGGAAGCTCAGTAAAATTTTGTCTATAGTGATAGTGACCGATTGTGGTGCATTTTCAATTACACCCGTCTCCACTCGCTTTCGTATTCCTCCTACTGTGATTGTCATTCGGAGACAGGACAAATTGCTATGGCATGCTATTGTTGCATATGGAAATAGCGTTCCATTGTGACAGTGTCCGATACTGATGCATTTTGAATTACACTCGTATCGACTGGATTTCGCATTCCTCCCACTGTGAGTCGCATTCGGAGTAGGGAGAACCGGGTTTCATGTGGTTGTGTAGTGTAGTAAAATTTTGTCCGTTGTGAAACAGTGACCGATTGTGATGCATTTTGCTTTACACACGTTTCCGTTCTATTTCGCATTCCTCCCTGGGTGAGTCGCTTTTGGAAGCTGTAGAACCAGTTTTCAAGTGGTTGTGAATCTTAGTAATATTTTATCTATATGTAGTGACCGATTGTTGTACATTTTGACATACTCTCGTACCTGCTGCATATCGCATTCCTCCCACTGAGTTCCATTCTGAGTCACGAGAATTTGGTGTGACCTACTGATGCTTAGGATGGTAGAGGAGGAAAGTGATGCAGTGACCGATAGTTGTGCATTTCGAATTTCACTCGTATCTACTTCTTTTCGTATTCTTTTCACTGTGACTCTCATTTGGAGACCGGAGAACCAGTTTTCACTTTTTCATGATTCAAGGAAATGTAGCGTTTTATCGTTATACACTGTCCGTTGGTAATTTATTTTCAATTCCTCTCGTATCCACTCCACATCGCTTTCCTCTGACTGTTTCACAATATGATCTCTTAAATATTTCCTCTTTCCAAATCAGATTTCAGAGAATGGAGTCGTGTCCGAGGCGTGGATGGCTACTGGAATTTCCGGCAATATCGATGGAACGCAATTATTCTCTGGATGGAGACGACTACCCCCAATTCTCCTCATTTTTCGTCCTTTTGGTGCTTTTCCTCTTTTCGTCACGAACCGGAATGGAACCGTGCTCATCCGCTCTATCATCTCTTAGATGCAGTTAAGAATAGTGTCTTGTTGAAATGGTTGATTTTTGTCACCGACTACGAAGGATGCGACGCGGTCCGGCCGATTCGCATTTCATTCGCGAGGTCTAAGATTAGTTTTGACGGGGCCAGTGAATCCTTTGACACAGCGAAGGTGTTTTTTGGAATCACACCATGCGTTCTGCCCAACCGAGCTTTGAAGGTCCCCTAATATGAAGGGTTGAAACTCCCCATGTTTGTGTTGAGACTGTTCTAAATGCATTTGGAAATAAATGAAATACTCTCCCATTTCATTTGCATTTTTTTCCTTTTGCTCCGATAGGTCATTTGCCTTCCTTTACCACTGCAATTGAGAGTCTGATACGCAGGAAACATCTCCGCATTACGTCATCAATAAAGAAGATGAAAAGTGTGTTAATTAGGTGATTAGGAATGAATTGTACTTGTTGCTCCGGAGCAACCCTGAGTTTATGTTGTCCTAAGACACGCGACCCCTGAATTTCGATGTTCGACGGAATTATGGCGAGAAGAGGGAAGAAAGGAAAAGTAAAAAAAGAAATGGAAAAAAAAGGAAATTGAGAGTGGGGATTCGAACGTGAGTCTCCTGAGTGTGAGACAACTTTTTTACACCTGCGCTACAGGGAGAGGGGATCCGGAATCGCGAGAAAACTGTCCTTTTCAAAGTATTGTGGTGGGTGGAAGAGTCCATTAGATTTGGAGGGGGGGTCGGGGTGGCGGGGCGTCAAGGTCAAAGGTAGGTGAATGGAGCCAGATTCGTGACGTCACAGGGGCTTCTACAAAATGCGAAAATCTCGCCCCCTGTTGCTTTTTCCGAACCCGGAAAAAAGTGGCAGTTCAAGGTCGAATTCAGTGACGTCATCACCCAGCCCACCTCCCCCTTTTTCTCTCACTGAATGAACTCTCCCGCCAGCCGACCTCCCCTAGAATCGGAGAATGGACTCGTCCGTCTGGTGAACTTCCTTGATCCCCAATAGCTGTCGCTCCAGACCTTTTTTTTTGTCATCGATGCCGCTCTTCTCTTTCCTTTCTTGGATTGATTCCATCGCCACTTTCAGAACTTGCTAGATGAAGACTCCCTTTGATCAGAGAAATTAATTTAGGCTGATAGATAAACAGACATTTATTGTGGCCATGCGGATTGCATACGCGGCAGTGACACAAGTAGAAGATTGCTGAGGATCTCTTTGAGCAGTGCTTGCTGCAGTGACATCGTATCTTCGGGTGAGAGCATGGTTTCATTGACGAGGATTTCCTGGTTTTTTTCATTATTGGATGACATAAGCGAAGCGAACTTCCGATGATTCAGGCTGATAGATACAACTTGGAAATACTCATGCAATATTCCACCTGAATTGCTCAGCGTCCCCTCGATTGGCGAATGGTAAATCCCCTCCATACCTGCAAAACTCTTGCCTCATCGCTTCCATAACTTCTTGCCATGTTAGGTTTCGAAATCTATAATTGCAAGTAATGACATTAAAACTTGAGACATTGTAGAGAAGAAATATACATTTTATTCTCCATACAGTACTCACTGGGTAGAAATATAAAAGAGAGGCAAGGCTTGGAGCAGGAATGGGCTGCAGAAACAACTTCATATTTATCTTTGTTCTGGTCAGCAGTGGAAGAGAATAAAAACAATCGAAAGGTGGTGAAGTGTGAATGGCCCCTCAGCCTTGGGTGAATCTAAACGGCCATGCTGGGGTCACGTGACACATCAGACAAAGTGACACCAGATGATGATGATGATGGAGTCCAAAGAAGGCCAGAAGCAGCGACCAGGGCCAAGTGCACGTACTGGTTTCTCCAACGCACCTGAGAATGACCCAAAAAGAGGCATTTATTAAATCTGGGACTTAACAGGTAGTTCAACAAATTCAGAGGCTAATGCAGCATCACATGTACTTGGAACAATCATGTAAGCAATTTTGTCTGCACTGAAAAACACAGGGCATCTGAGAAACCTCAGCTGCATTCCATATCCTCCATTCAATATATTTTCTGTCTCTAAATTATCATCAGGTAGAGATTTTTAATTCATAAGGAGACCGTAGATCAGGATAGAATGAGCAATAGTGCTTTACATAAATAAGACATCTATTGATAGGAGTGAAAACCTTTTTGTATAGCGCTTCCCATACTAACTTCTTTCCACCCTCAAAACATATTCATACTCACATAAGAAGTCCATGATTTCGTCTGTTTTGGTCCAGTACTCTTAGTACAGTACCAGGAAGTTCATAAGGTCAGCATGAAACGAAAAAGGTATATCTTATAAAAGGTAATCGGCTTGATGGATCCCCATGAAATAATTAAGGCACAAAGGAATTTCTTCACACTTGCTTCTGAATGGGACTACAGACTGGATACAGTTGCATGATATGCAGGAGCAAGAAAGACTGGAAAGGGCAGGGTCCACTAAAAATTAAAAAAGGAGAGAATTGCATGGGATTACAGCACCAAAAGCAATGAAAATCATTAAGACCATTTTTTTTTTTTGGGGGGGGGGGGGGGGGGAGCCTATGTTGGCCTGATGTGACCCTCCAATACATGTTGACAGGGTAACCAGGATGCAAACCCACGACTTACTAAATTCCCACCAAATACCACAGAAACCCAATTGCTCTTTCCACGGATCCATGGATATAAAGTTCTCGCACTAGCATCATCAGTGGGACTTTCTTAAACGTACGAGTTCATGTCTGCATTCATTTTTGAGTGTTGAACTAGGAGGAGACATAATACATCAAAGGCAGCCATTACCTTGAAGATTCTGAGAATAAGCCAAGATTTCCACACCTAAACATTCTCACCATGTAAACCTTCAACACAGAGTTGTACCTATTTCAATATACATACATACATACATTTTCTTGGTCGCTTTTCCCAACTTAATGGGGTCGCGGTTCGAGCATCCCCAGGAGCATCCTCCAGTGATCTCGATCCTGGGCAACAGACTCGAGCTCAGCTGGTGGGATGCCGAGCCTCTCGTGACAAAACCGAGCGACGTAATCACTCCACCTCGTACGAGGTCTACCGACGGGTCTTTTGCCGGTCATCTCGGCCTGGAAGACTCCTCTTGGGAGCCTCTCGGGGGGGGCATGCGGCAGACGTGACCAAACCGCCTGGCCTGAGACCTCTCGATCCAGAGAAGCAGCTGCTCGACGTGGAGACTCTCGCGGATGGCAGAGTTCCGCATCCGATCGCGGCGCGTTGCGCCAGCCAGTCGACGCAAGAACCTCATTTCGGCAACTTGTATTCGCGATCTGGTGCTTTCGGTCGTTACCTAAAACTCATGACCATAGGTGAGGGTGGGGAGATAAACACTTAAAAACCGAGAGTTTTGCTTCCCGGAAGCTTCCGATCTGGTAACCACGGTTCGCCAAAGTTCCCGCAGAACTGCAGAAGCCTTGGAGATGCGATCGTCGATCTCGTTTCCGTATCGCCCGTCACTCGAGAACCAGACCCGGAGATGCTTCAACTTCTCCACCTTTTCCAGTGGGACCCCATTAACGTGCAGGGTGCACCGAGCAGGATTTCTCGAGAGGACCATGACCTGTCTTGGAGACGCTCAGTTGTCGAGAGCGGGTCAAAAGAACGGCATCGTCGGCAAAGTATCCTTACCGCGACGTCACCGATGTCGACCCCCCTATTTCAATATAAAACTGAAATATAGTTTGAAACATTTGAACTTGAATTGCATAATAGTCCTTAGCCACAAAGCAAAAAATACAGTGAAAATCATTAGTGATTAAATGAATGCAAAATAATTTTTGATGCAAAAAAACATAAATAACAACGAGAATACACAATGAACATGCCAGAAAAAAGACAAATATGCCAAAAAATGTGGGAAAATTTCTTTTCTCTTCAACATTCACTCCACAGTTCAGTGAAAAGGTTATATGGCAGATGATCATGTTTGAGTGACATGGCAGGTTAAAAGTAAAAGTAGTAGCAGCAGCTGGACATTAACCCCATACACCACCTGTGTCAAACTCACTACCATCAGCTAATTCATCTTTTTCACTGAACTTGACACTTGTAACTTTTACCTCTCATGATGGCTCAGTTCAACACTAACAGGATTTAGATTCACCTACCAGGACACAATAACCCATGCTACAAGTGAGGTGCAGCCCACAAGGGGTTGAATTGCTGGCAGAGATGACAGTGGAATGTGGATAACATCATTTGGAAGGTGAGGACCCTTCTTGGGAAGGATGTAGCCAATGTATATTCATTGCATGGCAAGATGGGAAAAGTCATTCAAGGATGAATGCAGATGTAATAGCAACAACTGTATACTCACTCGAAGTGTTCCCAGGAGTACTACTTTCTTGATCATGGGAAAGGGAAAGTCTCCCATCAAAAAAAGAAAGTGTGGGGATTTCTTGATTGGCCATTGTAATATAGCTTTAACTCTTATATCAGCATTTCAAACTTATGTAATGTGACAGAAGGGAAAATCAGGAGTGGTTTGAAATTCTCATTAAGATTAATTGGAATGAACAAATGATAAAAGGCAAAATTTCAAGCAGAAAATGTAACTGTTGTGAGCAAATACTGTAGCTTGTGAAGAAAAATGTGAGAAATGAAATGCAAATTACAGGCTACTTTAATGTAGCTTGCTATTTTTTTCCACATGGCAAAGAGCTCAAAGTGAAAGGGGAAAAAGTGACAGAACATGGATTCAAAAAAAGTGGTGTCCAATCAGATGGTACAGTAAGCAGTCCTGACAGCAATTTTTTGTTAAAGATGCTTGTGAGAGAAAAAAGGTGGGTGTGTGAATTTTCTGTACAGGTCTTCCACCATTCCAATCTTGAGAGCTGCCATGAGTTCCTGATAGTATAATTCGCCTCCTCTGTCATAGTCAGCATCTGTGCAGCAACTTGAAGAGAAAAACAAGAATTGCAAAATTTTCAGGAGGGCAATAGAAAAGATACTAGTAAAATAAGTGTCAAAGTCAAACCACTGCCTATTTGGAATAAACTATGAATCAACCTAAGCAGCCTAATTAAAATAATTGCTGATGAAAACATTCACTTCATACATTGCACTTTTTCTGATGTTACATTGGCAAAAGGAGAGAGAGGGTGGGAAAGAGATGGGACAGTCAATTGAGACTGCATGAATGAACCCTCTCCTCGCTGATATAAGTCATCACTGCATACCCCTGCAATTTGGAGGTCACTGGAATTAAATTGCAGGAATTGTAATTACCCCTAGTAAATTATCAGAATTAAAACAAAAATGTCAGGTTTTCCACCCTTTCCAACTTTCCTGTAAGTTCTCCATCATTCCATCTGTTTTTGAAAAAGTTCCATAATGAGTCATGAAGGAACTCAAAGGGTGATGATTTAGTTACCAACCTGCCATTGACTGCCATTGATCATGAGGTCCTTGAATGACTTTTCTTTCCTATTATATCTTGAATATTCTTGGGAAACATCCTTCCCAATGGGGGGCTTCACCATCCAATGGCAATATTCCTGTCATTTCTGCATCCAACTCCATGCACATGTCACCTATGGGTTTGGAGCAACTAAATACAGGGTGTTCCAAAATGGCTGACAGGGTTTCATGTGGGAATAAAATCTGGAATGGATTGAGGCAGACCAATGAAAACAAAAACTTAATTGAGTTGCATCTTATCAATTTTTATTGTGGGTGGTATAATTTGATGTGAGCATGAGTAGCTCTGCAAATGTCTCATCTGTATTCCAGCGCCTACCACATTTCGTAGCATGTCCAGGGTAATGGCTTGGTAACTAATGGCTTGACTTATGCACTCTCTCAACTTCACCAGCGAGTTCACCTTCCCAGAGTACACCTCATCTTTCACGTAACCCCAGAGGAAAAAATCCAATGAGATAATGTCTAGAGAACATACAGGCCAGGAAATGGGTCCCTGCCTACCAATCCAGCAGTTCAGAAAACTGCAGTTCAAACACTCATGGATGATGTGGGTGAAATGAGGGGGAGCTGCACCTGAATGAAGGATGAAATCACCCTTCCCACCAGTTGTGATGGAAAATTATGCACTATCATGTCCAAGTAAACAATGCTGGTTATTATTGCTTAATGAGCCAACACAACTGGTGGGGCTATAACTCTAGTTCCCAGCATTTTTACTGTGGACATCAATCCAAAAATATATGTGCACTGTAAGATAAACAGATTTCCTACCCCCCCATATGGATGTATTTTGCATATACAACTGCATTTATCTCCTGAGTTACATGATGTGCCATATTTTCTCTCAAAACACTTTAATACAGATATTTCAACTTTTTTATTTGATCAACTTATGGTAACTCTGGCTAAAGTTATCTATCCTATGCCTTCAAGCTAGCACTCAAGTTATTACAATATTCCAATCAATTGAAGATGAGCTGTCCATTCGGAGAAATTCATTTTTCAAGTTGGCCCTCAGAGTGATGAGAGATTCTATCAAAATAAAAACTTTGATTGACAAGACTAATCTAACTTTGATATCTCTCAGAATCACAAACAATTACTGGGGAGCTTAAATAGTAATAGGATGGTGAACATAACAACAGGATTCAAATACCAGAATCCAATCACAAATTCCAACTTAGGAGTGACAATTCCGGGTAGTCTTGCATGATTCCCTTTTTCCTTCATATTTTCAGGAAGACCCATGATATATTTTTTTTTAAATAGAGGGCATTTCATGATAATTACACATGGTTTCAGTTCAAAGATCTGTAATGAAATATTCTGAATCAGATTTGACACATCTGGATTTCTTCTTGGAACTGAAGAATAAAGTGTTCATGTGAAAGTTGAAAAGTGAACTGCATGGTTTGAATTGTTCTTTCATAAATCTAAATTCTGTTGGAAAAAGAATCTTCATGAGAACTCAAATTGCACTTAAATTATACACTCACCCAGCAGTGAATCACATGCTAGCTTTACTCTCTCACAACGCACTATAGTTTCAGTGATCTCAGAGTAAAAAGCCATCATTTGCCCTTTCAGCAGCTGGCAAATTGCAAAGCTGAAAATTTGGGAGTTCCTGCTTCAATTGATGTAAAACCTAAGACATACTACAGCTTGCAACACCATACTGGCCATTTTTTGCTAACTTCACTAGTACTTGTGACCAGCACTAGAAACTGCAAACTTCACATTTCCCATTCTCTACTAAACCCAGTGATAAAGCATGTCATTTGACAGATGAAAAACTTATTGTGGTTGAAAATATTTTGCAGGTTAAGATTGCATGCAAATCCTTTCAGAAGGCTGCTGAGTTCTACAAATGACCTTGCCTCTCAACCAAGCTTAGCATTTTCAAAGTATCTAGACTTTCAAAGTCATAAAATGCCTGGCTAATATCATGTGTATCAGAGAAGTACCTTTCCTTCCCACATGTAAAGGTAAGGCCTTTCCTATGGGACATTGCACATGATGTTGCATAGCTTGAGAACTGCATGGGAGTGTGGCATTTCCAATATTTTAAGTGGCATTTGAGTACAAAGCCTACCTTTGGTAGTTTAATTATAAAGAATTTAAGCTCACAAGAATTGGATTACTATTTTGGCTTATGGAAAATATTTAAGCCTGCTTGAGAATCTTAAGCATGAGAATCAAGAATTTCAAGAATCTTAAGAATTTATGTAATGTTCCACCTTCATAATTCCTCCATTTGACACTTTATTAACCTCTAAAATTATTACTTCTTTCATGACAGGGTCACAACTGTTCTGAATTCAAACTTTTCCTTGCAGCACTTTCTTGCTCATTCCTTGTTATATTTTCCATCAAATCTTCACCATGTTTCAGTTTGTTTGATTCACCATTACTGGCACTTTGTTTCTGTGGACATTGAAGGTTCCCTGAATGTTTTTGTGGGGAATTCAGTCACATGTTATTTTATTGAAACCATTTGACCACATCAAAATCCATTTTGGTGGATTCTGTTGTTCATCATTTGAAATTGGTAATAGAAGGTTAGCATGTTTAATCAGTTTGGCATGGCTATGCAAGGCTTGAAGTCGGCTACTACAATAGCTAAAAATGCCAGGTGAGACAATAAAGCATAGGGGAATGCTGACCTACTGTTTTTATGATGACTTAGCTTTCTCAAGATAGCATCTGCCCATTGGGCATTTTTGTTCAATTTCCACATTTCCTATATGATGGTGACGCTGCTCTTGTGCTGCAAGGTGTAGTGTTCATGATCAAATAGTTCCCAAGTTGTGTTAATGCCCCCTTCAGTTTGAGAATAACATTGATGTGTCAATGCCTTGATGTGTCAATGTAGGTATTGAAGACTTGCATTGATTCATTATGTTCCTGTTATATAATGATGTCCACACACACAAAGTTGGAGAAGTCACAGATATTCTCTGACCTGAGCTAAATGAAGATGAAATCCTGGAAAAGCAAGTTTGAAAAATCCAGAGCCAGGCACATCTCCAATAGCAGCACCAACAGCATCATTTTGGTGTTTGTGTTGAAAAATGTGATACTTCCATCCTAGAAAGGTAAAAGAGCCCCATCCCTCCAAGAACTTCAAAGCAGAATGAGACATGTCCAAGACCTAAAGCCCCTGAGCTGGAAGAAAGTTCCCATCTTGTGACTCAAGCAAGATAGGAGTTTTCCTGGTGTGGGCCTTCTTTCCCTTCATTCCTGCAGAAGAACTCAGAAGTTATGATGAAACATGTAATGTTGTAAATGTATCCTGAGATCATCTTAGCTTGTCCCATGATCCATACAATTTCCTAAGAGGATCCATTTGTGTCCATTCATTTAACCTTGTAAAGCTGAGATTGGAATGAATATATTCCATTCTCATTTTGGGAAAAAATATGGTTTGTATTTGAATGGACAGTAGTTTATTAGCTCTGCAACTTGCACCCTGGGTGCAAATAAATTCATAAGTCCTGGTTTTCCTCATTTTTAAGTAAGCCTAGAATAATGTGTGATGACATCCATGAATGTGCATGGATGTCATGGATAATTTTCTGCTAGAAATATGTGCTATTGCTAAGAAGAGGTTGTAACTGCTTCAACTGGAAATAGCATCATGAGTTTGAAGGTAATTTAGATATTCCAGATGTAATAGGGAAAACACCCTTTTCCTTCATTTTCAGATGTTCTTAGTAGTAGAAAATAAGGAGGAGCATGAGGTTGAGTGGTGCACTCTCATGGTTCCATGATGGCAAGTGTGCAGGGCCACCATTTTAAAGCTTTGACAGGTGTGCTTGGGCAGCTAAACAGCAGGTCCCTCCAGATAAAACCTGGAGGTGGTATGATATAGTCGAGTCACTTGGAATATGGGCAGTAGGACAAGAAAAGAAATGAATCATTTAGGGTCTCCCCTGTCTTTCTCAGCGGATTAACTCCTACCGTCAAAGACATGACATTCTGACTTTCTGACAAGGATGCCACATGGGTCTTCCCTTCAAAGGTGAGTATATATATTTTCTCACAGTCTTTACGATCTCCTCATGCAAACAGTTTCATCATGTGGCGTACCAATGTTATTCCTGAGGCCAACCACTCCTGCTCACATTTAGCATTCCTGCTGTTCTTGTGAATAAAAACTGCCTCGGGCAACCCTGTTTTTTCAAGCTGGAGATTAGGGGAGGAGGCTATCAACTAGCTGACATTTTATGACCTCTGATGAGGTGACCTGTCACACTCGCCAACAAACTTGCCATATTCCCAGTGACTCAACTATAGTAGAATACTAAGGGAAGCAGATCAGTACTATACTTAACTTTCTGTGCATCTCCACACCCTTGAGAATGCAGGAAGTTCTAAGATAATTACTTTAAACCCATGCAAAGGGCACCTCTCCCCCTAATTCATCTGCATTTTTGAGTTATTCCCTCAGCATAAAATAAAACATAAATAACA